AGTGATCCTCCTGTTTCCAGCCTCCCAAGCACTGGGATTACAGGTGCGCGCCACCACGCCCGGTCACAACTGCCACCTCAGTGCACCCTGGGGGCAGGGCTGGCACGGCACACCAGGGATCAAACCCCAGCAGCTGTGCTCCGCCTGAGCAGGCGCTTTAGTCTCCTGAGCTATGTGGCCAGCCCTTGTCTCCAACTTTGTTATTCTGCTGCTTGTGTGTACAATATCCTAAAATGTCACCAGAAGATGTCATCCAAAGTCACCAAGAGTCGCCCCCAAGTTTGTTCCAGAGCTTCACAGCTCAGTTGTTAGGATTCTTGCTGCAGGGCCTTGCAAGCGCTTCCGTGAAGTGCAAAGCTGAAAGCTCTCAAGGAAGGAGAGAGAAAGAACTGTTGGCTACGGCTGCTCCAGGACAATGTCTCTGCGACCCATGCCATCGTGAGGGAAAGGTGGGTCTGCCCTGGCTTTACTCTTAGGGTGTTAGGTCTCTTAAAAAGAGCTGGTCCCTCCACACCATGAGGCAAACAGAGCTGGCGAGGGGAAAGAAGGACACTGACTGCTGTGTACCCCGCCACCTTTACAGCCCTGTCTCCTGCCACACTCCTCCTACTTGCTGGGCTGCAGCCACACTGTCCTTCTCGCTGGCCCTTGACACACACCAGGCACGCCCAGGCCCCAGGACCTTTGTACCTGCTCTTGGTCTTGCGGCCACTCTCTTCTCTCGAATGTGGCACCAAGGCTTCTGCTCAGATGTCATGGCCCTGCCTGAAACAGGAAAGGGCCGCTACCTCCTGTTCGGTTTTCTGCAAAGTACTCGGGGCCTCCTGGGCACACATTCACCTGTCCCTTGTCATGTCCCTTGTCATGCCTTCTTCCCAGCTGGACTGTCAGCGCCGCGTGAGTGGGGTCTTCCTTTTTCTCAAAGGCACAGCCTTCCTGCTTCCCGCAGCCAAGACAGGAACCGAATCCCAGAGGGGCACAGACAAACAGCGGTGGAACTGAAAGGCCTCCCGGCTGGCAGACACCTGCTGCACGAGGTCTCCTCGCCCAGAGCCCACTGGCCTCCGAGGAAATGTAGGAGGAGGGCTGTTTCTGCTCCAGAGAAACTGAACCTTCCACCTCAGAAAGACCACAGCTGGATCCCTGGCGTGGTCCAAGCCCCGACACAAGAACAGCACACAAAGCAGTGCATGTGATGCTCCGTGGAACACGAAGTCACCACGGCCCAGTTTCCCTGCTCCTCTGGGAAGGAGCAGCAGATTCCTAGGCACCACAAGTCCCCCACTCATCCCCCACTTCCCGAACACCCGTCTTCATCTGCAGTTTCACGAGACTGTAAAGATAGCTCCCATCCTTATTTTTAGGGATCTGCTCATTTGCAAAGCCCAAGTCCTGCGGGCAAGTGTCTAGGACAGAGATTAATTACATCCGTGCCCAGCAGCCGATCACATACGTTTTATGAGCCTGCTTTAACCAGAACAAAAAATTACTCTTCCTTTAGTTCCTTTGGAATTATAATCAGGATCTGCAGTCTGTCTCCCCCAGAGCTATGACAGTTATATTTTAATCAGTCCCAAACAGAGTCCTGGTCACGGAACCCTGGGAGGACACAGGCTTGTCCCAAAGGCCAGGCGAGGGCCAGGGGACAGGGTCTGGCTGGCCGTCTTCACATAGCCCCCACGGCACAGGCTGCAGCCAGGCGAGGGTGGCCACATTGCTGATTTTCTTTCCAGTACAAAGGAAAAGCAACAACAACAACAAAAAAAAAATTTTAAAAACCAATTTGCAGAGCAGGAAGAGTCTAGCCCAATGAACCAGGAAATGAGATGTGAAATTTGCTTTCAGGGAGAACTGCGCGCCCCAGGAGATGCGCTGGGCTGCTCCGGGCAGCGGCGGTTAGGAAGTGTCCTGGGGCTCCTTCCCGGCTCCAAGGCGCTGCTCCAGTTCTCAGCCTCCAAGGCGTCTTCCTCCTGGCCCACAACTGCGAGGTCTACCTGGAGCCACATGCCACAAGTGAAGGCATTGGGCCCGGTAAGCTGTACTGGCCCCGAGTACAGGTACCATCAGCAAACAGGGTCCCCAGGAGACCCACTTTTCCGCCCACGGACCATGCCCCAGGGCCTCCCACGTAGGAGAACAAAGCACGAAGGCCTTTCTCTAGCTGGGTGCAGGACTCTTTCATGAGTCATTATAAAGACCAAAAGACGCGATGTGTCATCTCTAACCCGCCCTCAGGGGGCGGGGGAGATGGTTCAGTAGAATAAGTGCTTCTCTGGTAAGCTCAAGGGCCTGAGTTCAATCCCTGGTTCCACCAAAAAAATAGAAAATAAATAAATAAAATAAAGGTTTCATTCAGATGGGTCCACAATTTCACATGTATAAAACAGAAGCATATGAACAAAGCCTAGGCTCATTCCCACGGTAATTCAGAAAGGAATTCTTATGGGTCATCTCTAACCCGCCCTCGGCCCGGGCATAAGAACACATCTGAAGACCTGACTGCGGGAAGGAACGCTGCCGAGAAGACGCTTTTCAGGCTCCACGCCCAAGGAACAGGGGTCCCCGGGTCCAACCTGGGGCCAGGCCTGCCCCATTCATGCTTAGCCGGAGTCCAGGAGGCGGCTTCAGGCCAGCTTCACCCCGTGCTGCTTCTACGCAACGGAGGCTCAAAGCTCGGTGCCAGTGGCCGCGCCACTCTCAGCACCAGCGCGGCCAGTGCCAAGGACTCCTGCAGGAGGCAGCGGGTGCTCAGGACGCTAAACAGAGACATCCTGAAGTGGGGTGGACAGGACAGGCGACTGCGACACGAGGAGAAGGGGAGCACAGAGAGCAGGCTTTGAACTAGGGATGTGATGCAGACGGTTCCCCAGAGTGGGAGCCACTCACCCGGGCAGCACCTGCTCTGCCACGGCCTGAACAGCACACAGGGCCCAGCCCGGGCTGGGCTCCAACTTGCAACCCTCCTGACTCAGCCCCCCAGCGTGCTGGGATTACAGGTGTGTATTACCACCCAGGATGTTTAGGTGGCAAAAGAAAAAAAGAAAGAAAGAAAGAAAAAAGAACTCTTTTTCCTTTTTTTTTTTTTTTTTTTTTAAGAGAGTTCCTTTTATTAAGGACATTCTTCTGAATAACAATTTGGGGATTCACCCTTAATAAAATGAACTAGATGATTTAAGTTGCTAAGAATCAACATCTCAGGGCTGGGGTGGGAAGTTAACGGAACATGTGAAATCCTGCTTTTGAGTCCCAACACTGCAAGAGAAAATTATAAAGAAAACAGAATCCTCACCTTTGGCTGGGCCCAGAAACCCACATCTTCCACCCAAGTGTCTAAAAGGAGGTGACCTGGAACCTCCTTGGGTGCCCCCAGAATCCGCACTGGGATGAGAGTTTCTCTGAGCACAGCCCTGGCCCCAGAGCGGCGGTGGCCAAGGCGGGAGCCTTACTAGGACAGTGTTTCTTTCTGGCCTAAACCACTGCACACAGCGCTTTCAAAGGCCGGATCACCTACGCACAAAGGGGCTGTGCAAGCCAGAGCTAGCGAGGCCTTTGCTCAGCTGCCTCGGAGCTGTCGCCCCGGAGCCTCAGCCCCGCCCTGCCACAGCAGGCTTTGGAATTACAGCCCGGGCCAGAGCACTGAAGATACAGATGCTGTGGGGAAAGCGGCACAGCTGAGGCACGAGGAAGGCACCATCCCTAGATGCAGCAGGGCTGCAACCCCACCCGCGTTGTTCCCAGGACTTGGTGCTGACGCTTCTGGCTGTGGACTCAGCTCCTCCACAAACAGGGCAGGGACACAGCTCTACAGTGACACCCACCCCCAGTCCACAGCCAAGGGGAGCAAAGGCCCCACAGCAAGGTGCTGGTATCTTGAAACCCGCTTGACCCTGGCCAGCCCTCTCCAAGGGAACAGGTTCCAGATGTGGCCACACAGTGAGTGACCACACTCGATGTGCAGACCAATCCTCCGTGGTCTGTGCCCCCCCCCATACACGCAGGCCATGCACGGCCCCTTTCTGATACAGCACTGCATCCCTTTCAGGAGCCCAGAGCCCCAGGTCCCTCTGCCCATGACAACCCAGAGCAAAGGCCTTGCCCTAACAGGGACACTGCCCTGCATGCAAGTCGGACCTCCTTACCTTGACCAGCTCCTTGAATTTGGGGTCCTCCCTGGAGGTGGGGTCAATCATCGTGCGCTCCTCATTCTCCTCTGCCGGGGGTGGGGGGAGCATGGTTAGCCCGGGTGGCAGGGATGCCCGCAGCAGGAAATGGCAGGAAGCAGAGACCTCGCAGGGTCCTTGGTCAGGACAGAGGACATGGCCAACACGTGTGGAATCTGATCCCACAGCGCAGGGGCAGGACCTCTGCTTTAAACTATCATCCCACTGGGCAGGCCCCAACCCTACCAGAGTCCCAACCATGGGCCAAGGCCATCCATGGTGGAGGAGAAATGACAGGAGAGGGAGGGCAGCAGGACAGAGACTGGGCCAGTGTCCCCATCCAGATCTGAATTCAGACCAAACTTCCAGCGCCAGCAGGCACTGTGAATGAACACGGGGAGAAGCCAGGACGGCTGCAGCACCACGGAAAATGCTTTGTCCATTAGGCTAAAGATCGGGACGCAACATGGCATTCAAAATGGTGGGCACAAAGGAATATCAGGAAATGCGAGCGGGACAAACACAACACAGGTGGCATTTTACAACCAAGGTGCCGTCCCCAGCCCACAGCCCATGACTGTTCGCTCCCTCTTCATTTCCTCTGTGACCCAGGATGGATCCCAGCGTCAATGGTGTCACTCCTCCCTGGAGTCAGGACGATCCCTTGTAACGCTTGGCAGGCACTGACCAGGCCCAAGAGCAGCGATTCGGAAAGTCAGTCACAGGTAGGTCAGGGCCAGAAGACCGCAGCAGCCTGTCACCGTGTCCAAGGGAAATCTATTTTCTGGGCTCCTATTGGCCTAGATCAGAGGTGATATCTTCCTCCCCAGGGACAGTGACAATGTCTGAGGATGTTTTGGGTTGCCCTGCTGGGTGAAGGTGCTAATGCCATTGGTGGACAGCAGCCACAGCGCTGCAAAGACCTCTTGGTGCCCAGGAAGGCCCCAAAGGTCCAGAGCAGAAGGAGGAACCTGGTGTCCACACAAGAATCTGCCAGGTCCAATCCTGGTCTCGAGTGCCCAGGCAGAGAGGGCCAGGAGCACCTGCCCAACAGCAGCTCTGCCACACCTATGGACAGAGGCTGATCTTCCAGGAGTAAAGAGGATCCAGGAGTTCCGGTGGATGGAGGGGGCCCCTGGGCTGGTCGCGGGGGACCTGCACCTGCTCCTTTCTATGAGCGCCTGTAGGGTTGGCCATCTCATGGAAGACCCAGACTCTCAAAAACACCCATCTGGTGTCCAATCAAAGGCAGAACCACCAGACCCTATCAGCCCCAGGGAGATCAACTGAACACCCGGATGTGCACAGTCTCGTGACAGGAAGTCAAGGAGCCTACTGTACCGAGCTGAGTGTCTTCGGGGTGGACGTCCACAGATGCAGCGGACATCGGCGAGTTGATGGCACTTCTGCCCTCTTCTTGCAAGTCACTCACTGTTGAGAGTAAAGAGGAAGAAAAACGTGGTCAGCATTAGTGGAATTCTGTGGCCTCGTGTTGGCTGTGGAGGAGACCACCTGTTTTCACGATTAGCAAACACTCAACAGCTGGAGGTCCAGAAAGAAGCCAAAGGAAAATGTTCAGGGCTGAGAACCCAACCAGTAATTCTTCCTGCACCAAATATTCCCCAATTCCCACCAATCCCTGTCAAACTGTTCCCGCTGTTCTTTGGAGCATATGACTAAGACGTGGAAGCTTCTGGGAGCTTCAAGATGCTTCTGGAGACTTCCAGGCTTGACCAAGCCTACTGCAGCAGACAGGGCTTAGACCACAGGGACAACAGATACCCACAACCTGAGCCATGGACTTGAGGTATGAACAGCCCTCCTGACGGGCATGCTGGAGAGAAAAAATGGAACCCTTCACGTGCCAATGTCAAGGGGCACGTCCATGGGGACAAAAATCAGATGAAAGCTGTCTGGTGCGCCTATGATTTTACATTGCCTGGGTGTCTATTTTAAATCTTTCGGGCTTTCCAGACCAGAGCTGGGCTCTGTCCCTGGACATACATTTAGTGTCCATGCACCCATCCCAGCTTCTCAGTGTGGTGGACTGCATCCATGGCTGCCTCTTGTGACCCCTGCCCCATGGAACAGCCAGATGCAGCCTGCCTGGCCAGTGTGTAGCCCCTGCATGGCCGCAGTTGCCACCTCTCTCCTCAGTGGGTGGACTCAACACTTGACCTAGGTCCCAGCCCACCTAGGAAACCATCCAGCTAACGCTCGGGACCCAGGTCCTGCTCTCTTCCATAGGCCTAGGACCTGTGAGTAATAAAACCTTTTCCCCTACCTGGGCTCTGCTCGGCACTAGAGGGATGCTATCCACCTGAAGGAGCTCAGTCACTGCCCCAGGTGACAGCCAGGGTCAGGGCCACAGGGACAGGCACAGGACCAGAGGAAAGAGACCCCTGTGGGGATACACGCTATGGCTATGGCCCATAGTGCACACCCCACGGGGGCAGTGGGCACCGGGGGGCCCAACAGTTGCAGAAAGCTGTGAGCTGCGGGCATGGTGGCACACACTTGTAATCCCAGCACTTCGGAGGCTGAGGCACGAGGACCTCAGTGAGTTAGAGGCCAGCCTGGACTCCATAGTGAGTGTAAGGCCAGCCTGAACCAGAAAGAGCGCATCTCAGACAGATAGGCAGACAGGCAGGCAGGCAGGCAGGCAGGCAGGCAGGAGGGCAGACAGACAGACACAACAGGCAGGCAGACAGACAGACAGACCAGACAGACAGGCAGGCGGGCAGACAGACAGGCAGGCAGGCAGACAGACAGACAGATGTCAACCAAGCTGTGAGCTGTGAGCCAAGGGGCACAGCCCAAGGCAGGGGCAACAGCAAGGACCTCTCGGCTTCCCTGATGCCACAGAGACCTTGCAGACTCCACACCACAGCATCAGGAGCAACAGTCGCCCGTGAGGATGTGGGGCGGGGCCCCAGCTTAGGACATCACCAGCTCCTCCGCACATCGCCCGGGCAGTCGAGCCGGGCCCCATTCACCTTGCTGAGCCTCCGCGCACACACAGTCCCCATGGGATGCTGTGGACTCAGCCTTGAGGACAACACTCCCTCTGTCCCTCAGAGAGGTGACAGAAGCAAGACCCTAAGACCCTGGTGTCTCTCGCAACAGTGAAAGCCCCGATTCTTGACTTCTGAAAATCAAGAGCCTCTCCTACAACTGTGATCACAGCAGCCACAGTCACAGCAGCCACAGGGTGGAAATGACCCGAGACCCGCAGACAGAAGAATGGAGGAGCAAAAGGGGGCCCATCGGTGCCCTGGAATACAACTCAGCCCTGAAAAGGAAGGACATGCTGGCTCCTGCTACAATACGGGCAGACCTTGGGAACACTGTGCTCAGAGACCGGAGGCCTCTGTGAATGTGCAGATTTCTGAGACTCCATCGGCTCTGCCTCCTGAAAATATTCTAAAGATCCCTGGTGAGCCCAGCCAGTTGAGAAATAAAACAAAGACCGAAGTTCCACAAATCATTTTACCACGTCCTAGGTGCAGTTTCTTTTTGTTTATTTCTTGGTGAGCTGGAAATGGAAGCCAGGGTCTTTGCACTGAGCTACATTCTTAGCGCCCCCGGTCGTGCTTTTTGAGCATTTGTTATATTTGGGGAGGGTCTTGTTTGTTGGGACAGGCTCTTGCTAATTTATCCAGGCTGTGCTCAAACTTTCGATCTTCCTGCCTCAGCCTCCCAGGGAGCCGAGCTAAGCAGCCTGCAGAATCCTAAGGACAGAAAAGGTGATTTTTCACCAAAGCCCGCATGGCACAGCAGCCTGGTAACTGGGGGTCTGCACAAGGCCATGGACTCTGGAGTCCCATTTCCCCAGCTGGGTCACACACAGGGCAGGTGTCCGCTGGTCAAGGCCACGTGCAGCAGCCACACTGACATCTAGGGAAGCACAAACATCCGGGTCCATTTCAGAGCAAGGCCACCCAGCGGGCACGGAAGCCACACAGCTGGTCAACATCAGACACCCTGGCTCTTCTCCGAAAGATGGACGCTGTCCCCGCCCCTGGACATCAAGTGGCCGACGGAGGGCAGAAAGCCTCACTTGATTTCAAAACCACAGCAGGGGAAAAGGAAGGGAACAGCATTTTCAAAGCCCAGAAACTGGGTCACATAAAAACAGAAATTCCACGCTGTCCTTCAACATCAAAAATACCACCAAGCAGGGCCGGGGATTTGTGACCTTAATAAACGAGAAGCAGGCTCAGGAAAACCGCCGGGCTCTGGGCCAGCAACGCCATTCCAAGGGGCCTGTCGTCTGCGAGGGCCCAGGGTAAACAAAGTCCCCAGGGAGCGGGGACACACACGGCCACAGGCCCTAGGCGCGGCCCCACGAGCACAGGCTGCAGCCACACAGCCCAAGTTCAAATCCCACTTCGCCGCTTGCCAGGCCTCAGTTTCCCCAATGTGACATAAGATTCGCCTCCCAAAGTGCCTCACAGGAGGAATGGGAGATGGACAGGCCTTCCTGCAATAGCCCAGAGGGTGAGGGGCCATTGAGGGAGAGGGGCTGGTGGTACGGGAAGACCTGCAGGAGGCGGGGATAACTGGGTGGGAAGAGAGCAAGGCTGGGAAGGGCCGTGGTGGCTGGTGACGGCCAGAGTGGCTGCCGATGCGGTGCCCACTGCCCTCGATCACCCAGCCACGCGGGGCTCGAGGCCCTGGACTGCAGGGCACAGGAAGTGGAGAAAGGCCAGGGAATGCAGGCCAGGGAAGCTGGAGACCACAAGGAAGGCCTGGTAGGAGGAGTCCGACTCTGCCTAGCTCCTGCACAGACAGCCACTCCTGCTGGGCTCAGGACGGCAGGGGGGACGCAGAGGCCACTGCTCCCTGAGCTGCTGAACGTGCAGCAAAGCCCAGGGCATACGTGGCAACGGATCACGGCCGTCTCCCATCTTGGGCCACAGTGACTGTTCAACCTGACTGTCGCGGGGAACGACGAGGGGCTACTAATGTTCCCCAAGCACCTACTGTGTATAGCGCCTGCCCAGCCATCCACAGTGAACTCCTACAAGTGTGTGGGGGTGACAGACAGGTCACAGAGGGTCACTCTGCTAGGCATTCAGTCCCCTGATCCCCCAGTATGCCCCAAGTCTACCCGATCTCAGACCTGAGCATAGTGGATTTCTGGCTTCAGATCCCAACCTAGCCACCACCAGGCTGTGTTACCTCAGGCAAGCGGCTTAACCACTCTGTGCCTCAGTTTCCATGCATGAGCCAAGAGGGATCACAACATCTGGGTAAGACTGCACAGGCCACACCCTGGTGGGCAGAGCCAGGATGGGGAAGGGGGTACTGACTCAGATGTTTCCAAAGACACTCACTTTCCATGCTCCACCCTCAGCCTGGGCCAGTCTTTAAAAAACAAAAAACACAACCTTTCCTGATTTGGAATTACAAGGGCATCAGAGAGAAGCCAGGGATCAAAAACCCCAAGCCATGCCCCATTTTCAAGCCTCATAAAGCAGCCTGCCATTCAGACCTCGGCCCGAAGGAAAGCTCCTGCCTTTGATATCTTAAAAAATCTTTTTCTTTGTGTAGTTTTATTTATCTATTTATACCCAGGCTCTGTCCAGAAAAAAGAGGGGGCGGGGGCTGCTGTATGCGGCTGCTGCTGCTCTGCCCCGTGGACGCTCTGGGAAACGCCAGTTTGAAAGCAGGCTGCCTGCAGCGCAGGGTCACCTGAGAGAAAGGGTAAGTCGGGAAGGAACAAAGGCTGCTAGGTTTTGCAGCCCACAAGGGGATCAGGATGGACAGAAGGTGGTGACACGCTTGGCCACCCACGGGGCCTCTCCGTGCTGCACACAGACGTCTTGGCTGCCGTAGAGAATAAAGGTTCACACGGAGAAATGTCAGCAGGCCTCCGCCTGAACCAGGATCAAAGTGAAAATAAAACCTACAAAGAAAGGTCGCTCATCACCTGCTCCACAGCAAAGGAGCTTCACGGTGGCAGCCCTTGCTCTCGGACACCTCACCCTCTTCAGCCGGCCCGCTCTCCGTGCAGTGAACCCTGCTCCAGGGGTCAGAGCGGGCCGTGTGCAGGGGGACAGAGAAGAAAGAGACCCGAGCGTCCAGCCCCAGGGCGCCAGCT